AGCAATCCTAGCCCACAACTAGCTAGGTTGGTGAAGCAAACTTCCACACAAAAAAGTCCATGGGTTCACACATGGGGTTGGACTTTCTTCCAACAATCTCCCCCTCCAACCCCATGGGAGGAGAAACCAACCATGACTCCAACTCTCCCTGCTCAAGAGCACTTTATCATGGTGTCCTATTTTTGAAAGTTTCCTCCTAGTATAGGATAGGACAAACTTACACTAGATGTACTATGAAAATTAATTTTGAACCAAAATATGATTCGAGGAAAAATCACACCTCCTCAAACCATCATCAAACACCACTTCATTGTTAAAGCTCACCTTCTTCTTGGTCTTATTAATTTCCTTGCCATCTACCAAGATCCCTTTAGGCTTCCACACCATCTTCTTCATGGTTTTGTTGAGCCTTCTCTCGGGATGTTGCTCAAGCACATAGATGTTGTGCTTGTTCTTCCTCCCATGCAAGACAAGTCTTCCACCTTTGTAGACCTTGCACCATTCTTGCTTTCCGACATACTTGCACCATCGTGTTGTCAACTCACTCAGAGCAATAATGTTGCTTGAACACTTGGGCACATATCTCACATTCTTGAGAATCTTGGCTCTCCCATTGTGAACATTGAGACAAACATCTCCTATGCCTTCAATATTCACCTTCTCATCGGTAACCACCGTTATTTTGCCAAGCTCCCCTTGAACCAAACTCCCAAATTCCGAAGGATTATTACACACATGCATGGTTGCAGCAGAGTCCAAAATCCATCTTTGATTGTTTTGCTCCACCTTAGGATCACACTCTTCACAAGCTAATACTTCAATCACATTTTCTTCAACAATATTAGCCTCCCCCTTGCCCTTGGTTTCTTGACTTTTTATCAATATTTTCATATTAGAAAAGTCCTCCTTAAACTTCGGGCATTTATATTGTTTGTGAACCAACTCACCACAATAAAAACACTGCACTTCACCATAATCCTTCTTAGGTCTGAATTTAAACCTTTCTCGATTTCCTCCACCTCCACGTCCATTGGATCTTCCTTGAGAGTGCTCCATCACCAAAGCATTAGTTTGATTGGCACCATCATCCTCCCCAAGAAACTTATCATTCTCCAACAACATGGATGTGACATCTTTCATCACCAAAGTAGTCTTACCCACTAGCATACTTTGCACTAGGGACTTGTAAGATTTTGGCAAGGATGCAAGTAAAAGCAAATCTTTTTCCTCTTCTTCTAGAACATCTCCGGCATTCACTACTTGTGTCACCATCATGTTGAAATCAGATAAGTGCTTATGAATATTTGTGCCTTTTGCCATCTTCAATTGATATAGGTCCATCTTTAAACACAACCGATTGGTTAAAGATTTTGAAGCATATATCTCTTCAAGCTTCTTCCATATACCTATTGGAGTAGTCTCTGAAAGGACGTTGTATTTCACCTCCGGTGCAAGCGCCAGCCAAATTTGACTTGCTGCCTTCTTCTGGATAGTACTCCAATCACTATCCCTCACCTCAACTGGCTTGGTCTCTTTTAAAGCTGCATTAAGTCCTTGACAAGTAAGGACATCCTTCACAGTGCTTTGCCATAGAGCAAAGTCATTTTTGCCATCAAATAGCTCAATTGAATACTTCATGGCTTCAGTTTGCATTTCGCCACAACACCAGGAGCTCTACCAATAGCTCTGATACCACTTGTTGGGAATTTTGAGCACCACAATCCTACACAAACGGAACGGAAGCGATAAAAAAATTGAGACAATAATTTAACGTGGTTTGACTTGTACATCTCTTAACAAGTCTACATCCACAGGAAAGAGAGAAATAAATCTACTATTAAGAAAAAGAGTACAATAATTTAGAAGCTCTCTCACTCAAGAAGCACTCAACACCTTAGCTTCAATGTATAGAAGCTCCCAAATTCTCCCTAATACTTCCTCTTAATCTACACAAAGATTTCTCACAATTTCTCTCTTTCTTTTCTCTCATAAGAGCTCTCACTCAATGTCTCTTGCTTTCTCCTACTCTTGCTTCCCATTGCCTTTGCATGCATGGGTATTTATAGTGAAAAATCCAACCACCCATGCACCATTTTTCTTTGCCTCATTACCACCCGGCCAAGATTTTCTTTGCCCATTAAATGGCTCAACATGCAATCTTGCATGATTTCAACAAAGCAATCCTAGCCCACAACTAGTTAGGTTGGTGAAGCAAACTTCCACACAAAAAAGTCCATGGGTTCACACATGGGGTTGGACTTTCTTCCAACACAGATGACTCGAGGTTTTGTGAAACCCCTTTAAATTCTTGCTCCTCACAACCTGAAAGCTTGACCAGTAGTCCAGTTTCTCCATACAGATATCAAAGACCACTAGGTGCTTTCTCATCCACTCCAAACAGTTCATACCCTTCATATGGTTGCAACATCAGTTCTGTCACTTGTTCACCTTCTCGTCAGCGAGGATCAGACACTGAGGGCCGGTTCCCATCATCACCTAGCGATATTTGTCACTCAGCTGACTTGAGGAGGGCTGCACTCTTGCGCTCTGTACAGCTGAGAGCACAACCTTCTGGTCCATTGCCTTTTGAGTTGCCATTTGGTTCAGCGCAAGAGCCTGTCTCAGACATTGAAGTTGAAGAGCGGCCATGCTCATTTATTAAGTCCTTAGTTGATGACAGAGATTATCGTGTTGAAGACTGTCCTCTGGTTATGTCGGAGCCTGAATTTAGTGAAGGAAAGCCAAGCAACAAGTCAAATCTAAATAACAAGGAGGATGAATCTGGGGGTTAGATTCTTTTGAGTTTGAGAAATGGATTTTAAACACCAGCTTCATCGGAAAACTACTCTGTACTGTATAACGGCAGGAGAGAACTGACCATTAGCAGCAGCACACCCCAGTCAAAGTTGTTTGGTGTGCGAGGTTAATGGTTTGCATGAGGGAAGGCATCGAGGTCTTGTTACTGGCGCTCTTTAATCCTCATTTTATGCCTTCTCATATGCTTTTCGGCAGCAATTCGACCGACATTCCTGTTGTAGATTTGGATCTACGTGCTCATTATTTCTTGGAGTACTTAGCGATTGTCCTTTTGTTGCCATGTCTCGTTTTTATGGCAGCGAGTATAAAATTCAAAAATACAGCAATGTATGTCACAACTTTGAGGTGGTATTGCATGAAATGAGAGTGGAATCAGAAGCATTTGCTCTTTCTTCGGTTTTATTCTTTGTTTTCTAATTTCTACTCTTAATTCTTTTATTTCGCGCTCCTCCCTTCCCTTTTTTCTCCTATATCATGGAGAAATGTAGCTATTTTTGCCTGCTTAGGAGGCCCAGGACTCTGCTGCCCCAAAAAATTGGAAACCCTGACCCTGAAGCATTTGACGATCAACCCTTTGGTAACAATTTAGTAAAGCTGTTTGATTTGAGATGTTCAGGGGATATTTTCTTGTGTTTTGCTTCTTAAATTGTATAGTTAGCAAACAAAACTGCCACTAGAGCAGAAGGAATTTGCCAAAGTAAATTTTTTCCGAGGATGCTTTTATTTCGTATAGACTTTGAAGCTCAAGTCATCTCGGCACCCCACCCCCCCACCCAAAAAAAATAAAAAAAAACTGTCATCTTTCTTGGCCTAACCAAGAATCTGTTCATCCACATAAAAGGGAATATAATTAGTAACATACAACAAAATAGAAGACAAAATAAGCCTGCAAATTCAAGGTATCAATATGATGAACTGTCTATTAAGTCATTATCCAAGTGATTAATTCACGCGAAGCCTACAGATTTGATGCCGGAAAAACTTCTGCTCAGATTAAACTTTAAGAATACAGTCATCATCTTAATGGAGGGACCAATGCTCGGTGCAAGAGATGATAAAATCGGCAAATATGAGTGAAATACAATTATCTGTGAGATTATGCGAATGCTGATAGGATATTCTTCTTGACGGTGAATTCATCAGC